TAAGTTCTTTAAAAATCAGACAATGTGTATTTTCTTTTTTCTTCATTTTGTCTCTCATAGTTGAGGTATACCTAGGATGAAAATGACAGGCCTCTCATCTTTTTAAGTGGGAGAACTTGCACAATTGGTGGCTGACTAAATACTTTTTTGCCCCACTGTATACTAGTTCATTGAGGTTAGTATTAGCCTGTTTCACCTTAAAGGGGTACACAATTAAGAGAAAAACTAATCTAGTTATGGAAACATTGATGTATTTTTAGTAAGTTAACATATTTAAAGAGGGAAATAACCTTAGGTATCACTTTTAAAAACTATGATTACTGATATTGGAATATTACATGTTTTAAGGCCATTTTACTTAAAAATAAATGGTATATTTCTACTAACATTGAGGACGACACATTTAAGAGTGCAATAGAGAGAGAGATAAAAAGAAGGTTCTCCTTCAGGGAAAAGGGCAGAATTTATCTCAGACTGACCTACTTTTAGATATCTGAACATCTTTAAACAGGAGAGTTTGAAGGGGCTACATCAAAGATTCTGGAAATGCTAGAGAGCCAGTAGGAAAAATACCCATTTGGCTGAAATTGTTGTCGCAACATGATTCACAATATTGAAGGGAATGATCCTTTTTGGATCATTATTCTTATTTTTATTGACAATGATAATGGTGTGATTTTTTTCTTCTGCAAAGACACTTGTCCAAGCAAAGATTTTTTTCTAACGGTTGTAAAATATGATATATAGGCTGTGACATTTCTGAAGAACAACATAACTTTATTCAGTAAGTAATTTGCCTTTTAACTATTATAAATCTTCCTGGTATTGATCGATTAAAGCCACTCTCAAACTGAGTTATCTAAAGTGATCTGATGTCTTTATTCAGGGAGCAGAAAACAAATAACATCACATCCTCCACTATTCGGATTGGATTGATTTGCCAAAGAATATGCTACACACTAATCATTTTATAAGAAGAGAATGTTCTGGTATGAGCCATTTATTTCTATTTTATCAGAACATTCTGTAAATCAAAAATGCTCCTCACTGTTAACAGTTAAACCTCGCACAGACTATAATTTAATGTGGGTGAAAATGTTATGGTTGTCTGTACCTTTTTTATGCTATATGATGCAAGCAAAATAGCCCCAAGGTAATTATTCAACACAACATTATTACAAGCAGCATTAGACGGGCTGCTTACACCAAGTCATGACTCTCAAGTTGAACACAGACTTTTGCGGATACACTCAAAAGCACTTTTCAATAGTTTACTTTATTTGTAAAATATTCACAATGAAAAGTAATAGGCATTATTGTGACTTCACAGAGGCTCACAGCACTAACCAACACACAGTTTTTTCAGTGCACATGCATCATGCTAGATTCAAAGCCCTTACAATAATCACGGTTCTTCGCACTTAAACTCTACTTGATCTGAGAAACAGTTTGTTAAATCTGATTTTTGGAGGGGAAGTTTGTTAGTTCATCCAAAAACAAACCTAAATGCACTGCGGTTTTCCCTCCAAGCTCCAGAGAGGCTAATACACTAACTATTAAATGCACTAAACACAGCACACACAGAGTAGAGCAACACATACATACACATACACACAGGCACAGACTGTAGTAAAGCTGAATGGCACAACTGTGCTCAGCACGGCTGGTCTTAAGGCTTTTGCAGCAGAAGCAGTTCTTATGCAGAGACTGATCCACTGAGCTAGCGATGTTCAGCCTCTCAGTTGGATACCTTAGCATTTCTTATGGAAAGTTTACTGTTGGCTTGTCTTCCATATTTCATATTTTAGGTGTCATATCTAATCAGACGTAAAGTTGATCTAGATCATTCTGAATTCTCTAAATACTAGCTTACAAAGCAGTGTAGAGGTCAATTCACCCGCTGCTATCAAAGAAACATTGTGTGTAAGCCAGCCTTGTGCATTTAAAGATATAAACACAGTCCAGGGAGACAGTCCAACCCGCCTCTTCTCCTTCTTCCACCTAATGTAAAGGGGGAGGCATTACATTACATTACAGCTCAGCACATGTTACAAGATCTTCAAGCCAATAACTTATTTTAGCGGGGTGGGTATTGAATTAGGCACTACTTTTTCCCTCTCTGCCTCCCCCTTTCCTCCTCTCCCTTCTGTTTCTGTACCCTACTTGACAAAGTGCAAGGCCTCCGCTGCCACCACAGAGCCTTTGCTGCTGTCGAGGCTGGTGACCATCTTGAAGCCGGATCTCAGCGCGAGCATCACTGTCTCTAGTTTCAAACAGTCAAGCGTGCACAGGAATGTGCTGTCCTCCTTCAGAACGAGCCTCGAGCCCGGCTCCGACTTGATGAAGTGTCGGAACTGGATCACGTTGGACGACACCTCAAATTCTTCTGGGAATCCGTCCAGGCGGCTCTTGGAGATCTGCACCAGCCGGCCTTTGACCTTGTCGATGAAGGCGGAGTCACTGCAGTACACTTTGAGGCCCTGAGACCTCTCATGGCTGTCTGTCACCTCCAAAAATGCTGCCTCCCGCTGTGCCGCCCTCTGACTTTCCCACTCGACAACGGCTTCCACCAGTTCACTCAGGCGGTAAAAATCTGCTTCCCGGCGCAGGAGCCCAGCCTCGCGGAAGTCGTCAGGCAGCTGAAGCTCTCCGGTTCGGAGGTAGTTGAGCACATGGCGAAAAACCGGACCATCTCTATCGATGAATGGGTTGCCCATGGAATCAGTGTGCTGAACAGGCTTCTTGCCATTGGCAAGCTCTTCCAGGAAGGAGCCCTGGTGTTTGGAAAGGGTGGTCCGGTGTGCGGTGTACAGGAACCCCCCTACGTTCAGAGTGATGGTGCCTGAGGAGGGCTTCTTGAAGCTCTTGCTGGGCTGCAGCAGGTCCGGGTTGATGTGCCTCAGTTCACTTTCCATCCTTCTGAGGTTCCATTCCATTCTCCAGTCACCCTCTCCAGCCTCGACCCAGCCGCCTCAGAGCTGGTGTGTCTGCAGCACGAAACGATTCTGGCTTTTTCTTCCTTTTTGAATCTGGCAGTGAGTCTGTGCTGCCGCTGAGAAAATGAAAAGGTGTAGTCAGCTGTCGTACAGTGAGAGCAAATGTGTCCGAGAGAGTGTGAAGGTGGACGGGTGAGTGATGTCTGGCAGAGAAGCTGCAGTGAACTGGTTTCTGAAAACAAACTGGCTCTCTGTGCTGCTTGCTGTCCCTCCTCTCCCTTTCTCTCCCTCTCTCTCCCTCTTCAGGAGTGGGCGGGCAGACAGCGTCACACTCAGGGAGGAGAGAGAAGGGATATGCAAACAAAAGAAGAGTGCGGACTCTGAGCTCTTTCTTTCTTGCTCTCTTTTCCTAATTATCTCTGTTATAAAAGGTGCTGAGCTCTAACACACACGCACGAACACAGCCTTCACCAGATGGAGGGGGGTTGCTATATTCTTTTATGGTGTGAAACCATCTCGGCTTGTGTGAGCCTGAATTTGAAATTCCCTTTGCAGCCAAATCCATCTGGTAATCACACACAGTGCTACATGTGAACTGTTCGAAAAGAAATCCAGTTCAATACAGGGCTTGACTGCAATCTTTTTTGTCTCATCTCTCATATTACTTCAGGGAGAAGTACGATTCCAACATTACTTATGTAAATGAGAGCAATAGGCGGTGCATTTATATATGCACATCCTGTTTTGGTTTTTGCAAGGTAACAAGCAGTCCACTGTCCTACTGGATGTTTCCTTTGCACTGACTAAGTGTGTCTTGTGTGTGCACTGGCTTGTGGGTCATGTGGAGGAAATGGGCCAATTACAGTGAATGGTCGTCAGTGCAGGAAGTACAGATTATGAATTGGCTTATGCTTCAGCCTGCAGCCTCTCTCTCTGTCTGTCTG